AGGTTTGTTGAGTAAGTAATATCAAATTTAGTGTATATTAGTTTATCATTTTCTGATACTTTGAAGGAAATGTTTGACAATTCCATTACTTGAAATGTGAACCCAACAGCAATTCGAGAGTCCGGCATTTCTCACATTCTTAGGAGACTTCAAAATATTGAGTCATTTCTCAATTGCTTTATGAAAGACTGTAAGCATAAATTAGCTTCAAGAGCATATTGTAAGATTGTTTAATGTGTTTCAAATAAATTAAATGTAACTTCTAGGAAGAATGAAAAGTCTATATTTAGTTAAAAGCTGGCGTTCATAAATTCAAGCCTTTAATGGGCTTTCCCTGTGTACATGAATTTTATATGTTTCAATTTAGCAGCCTGAAAGCAACTTATTGCCAAAATTGGCATTTAAAATGTGCTCTTTGTAGTATTCAAAGCTGCTAAAATTGCTGCAATGTGACTAATTATAGTAGAATTGTGCAATTATGGCATTATTTGGATTTAAATATCTTAGTTTTAAAATTAAAGTCCAATTTTGTTTTATATACCAAAGCATTGTAAATTTTAAATAGGGAAGTAATTAAACATTAAACTGTGGACCATTGAGAGATATCTTGACTTCGCTAATCTAGTAGTTTCGTATCAAACTGAAATGACATTTTATAACAATTTAACCTATTTTTCCAATCAACCTGTTCAGATATGTTATTACATACCTCTGGAGCAGGAGGAACTTGAACCTGGGCCTCTTGTTTCAGGGGTAGGGACACTATCACTGTGCCACAAGAGGACCCTTGAGATGACATTATTAGTCAGGTGTGTTGATGGGTTTCAGCAGCTGCTTGCTCTTTGAGGTATGGTTCTTGCTGCCAAGGCCTGCTGCCCATCCCTAATTGCCTTTGAACTAAGTTAGTGTGTGAGGCCATTTTAGACAGCATTGGAAATGCAAGTACCCCTGGGAGTTTCCAGTCATACTTTAATAATAACTGAATGTAGGTACCCAAAACAATTCTATTTTGTATGAACAAAATACACATTTTGCATTGATTTGAAGTTTACATTCAGTTTGCATTCTGAGCTGGAGAAAACTTCCAATGAATCATATTTTCTTAATAATGTTAAGAATATCTCCCTTTGTCAGGTTTCATAATTGTTGCAGGGCTGAAGAGGAACATTGTGGTTAGTGACTGGGTGAAACAATGTAGAGCAAGATTTTAGTTGATTGTTGCATCTGATTTATTGGTATTTACTTCAATTCCAGGACTGCAGCATTAATCCAACTATTAGGAAGGATCTGAAGTCATCTGTTCAGAAACTGTATTGCTGCCCCATTGAAGGTTGTCCAAGGGGACCGAACAGACCATTTTCTCAGTTTGCCCTTGTTAAGCAGGTGAGTGCTGCTGACCTGCAATCCCACTTGTTCATGTAGCATGTCATGCAGGTAATGCATGATTTGCAGTGGACTGAGTTTGTGGGCAGGCAACTACTTTTACTACGATTGTGTCATTAATCAGTTGTTAAGTCAAACTGTTTTCTCCATGTTTATCCATCAAATAAATGATATTTCTGGTCGCTGTACCGTTGCGTTTTCTGGGATTTGTATGTAAATTGGTTCTTGCATATTCTTCCTACATTGCAACAGTGACTACGCTTCAAGGAATGACCTAATTGGCTGTAAATTTGCTAGCATTTCTTTATGGCCTTGGGTGCAGTTTCAGTTGACAGTTGACAGCTGTCTGCTTTGGAAAAAAGGTTTATGATCCAATTGCGTGCAGCAGAGGTGTTTGAAGCCCCTGTGTTTTGCATCAAACGTTGGTGTTTTGCCATCCATTTTTAGGACTAATCGGAATATGACATATTTTAGCTGATGCTTTCAGAATCTTTCCCTCATTGATCCCTTACTCTGAGATTACGCTGTCTGGTTCTAGACTCTCCCACAGAGGATAAACAACCTTTCCACATCAACCCTGTCAAGTTCCCTAAGAAATCTTGTGTGTTTCAATAAGATTGCCTCTAGTTCTTCTGAATTCCAATGAGGGCAGACGCAACCTACATAAAACAGTTCCTCCATACTTAGGATCAATTTAGCGAACCTTCTCTAAATGGTTTCTGCAGTCACTATATCTCTTGGATAAGAGGACTGAAACTGTTCAAGGTATTCCAGGTGTGGTGTCAAGAGACTGGAATTTGGGGAGATCTGAGTTCTCAAATGGTTGTAGGATTGGAGGAGACTATGTTATGGACATTGGGAGTGGCGAGGCTGTGGAGAAACTGATATGGCAGCAGAATTTTCCACAAAGATGGGAAGGTTCCTGGAGGGGATGGAAAATCAGTCAACTAGGTGGCATTAGAGTGGTTAAGTCTGGATGTAACAAAGATATGAATGAGTGTTTTACTCAGTCAAGATTATCCATTCACTTTGGGTATTCTAACTTAAGGTGTTTTTTGTCATTTTCTTCTTCCCCAGCACTTTATGAAAATTCATGCTGAAAAGAAACATAGATGTGACAAATGTAGTAACTCATATGGCACAGAATGGGACTTGAAACGACATGCTGAGGATTGTGGGAGGATCTTTCAGTGCACTTGTGGATGTCCTTATGCCAGCAGGCCAGCACTGCTGTCTCACATTTACAGAACTGGCCATGAAATCCCTCCTGAGCACCGGTAAGTAAATGATCTGCTAAACATCCTCCAGGTAGGCTGAGTGTTCATTTATAAGGCTTTTCATGTAACAAGTTATCGGATCTGCCATATCATGCAAATTATTCAAGCTGTTGTCTTTAAATAATATGCATCACATTAAAGCCATTCTGACCATTGACAAGTCTTTAACAGGGTTCTGAGTGAGCCTTCTCTTGTGTTCATACTACATTGCTGAACTGTCTTATGAACACCAAATCATCCAATGTATTGACTTTTGACTCTGGAGCTGGAAACAATGTTAATTACTAGATGCCACTTAAGCATAGAGGTGGGCTGTAGCTCCATTCAACCTGTGCACGCTAGTGTTATGCTCTTACAGTACTTCCTACACCTTAAATATTTAGGAGCAGCTTGATATAAAACATAGAAAATATATTTCTATTTTCAGTTAACCCCATACAAAGGTAGTTTCAAACTTATGTAAGAATTGTGATTCCCTCTATATTTAGCTAGACACTTTTTTAAAAAAGAAAATCCTTATGGAGACACAATGTGTGAACCCATGCACAAAACAAATGACGTTATTTGTGTGCACAGCAAGATCTCCCCTCTAAATTACCTTCAATGAAGTAATAGATGAATTATTAACTTTGTGCAAAATTTGCTGGATTCTGGAAATGTTCCATCAGACTGGAAAGTAACATATGATTCCCCTATTCAAGAAGGAGAGAGGCAGATTTGGGTAAGTTATTAAAATTGATCATTTGAGGTTATAGCTGGGCTCTTAAAACTTCAGGTCATTGGAAGGAGTTGGTTATGGCTTTGTGAAAGTGAAGTCATGTCTAACCAATCTGTTGGAGTTCTTTGAAGGTATAGCATGTGCTCCTGATAAAGGGGAGCCTATAGACACACTGTATTTGATTTCCAGAAGGCATTTGACAAGGTGCCACATAAAGTTATTGTACAAAGTAAGAGCCCATGGTGTAGGAGGTAACAAATAACTTGGATAGAAGATTGGCTGGCTGGTAGAAAACGGGAGTATACATACCTGGGTCTTTGACAGGATGTGGAAAATGGAGTTCCCACAGGAGTCTGTGCCCTGGAGGCCTGTTTTGTTTTGTTATAATAAATATCAGTTACTTGGATCAGGGGATCCAAGGCAAGGTGGCTAATGTTGCAGATAACACTTCGCTGTCCAAATTTGTATGTTGTGACGGGGCATAAGGAAGTTGTAGACCAATGTAGATACGTTGAGTTGGTAGGCAAACGCTAGTAAATGGAGTACAATGTGTGAAAATGCAAAATTGTTTTCTTTGGCAGGAATAATTTTTAAAAGCCAGATTATTACTTAAACCGAGAATGTTTGCAAAATTCCAAGGTGCAGAGGGATCTAGATGTCCTTGTGCATGAGTCACTAAAGGTTAGTATGAATGTGCTACAAGTAATTAAAGCCAGTGGGATGCTTTATTATGTGAAATCAACTTAAAAGTAAGAATGTTTTGCTTCATTTATACAGGTAATTAATGAGACCATATCTCAAATGTTATGTGCAGTTTTGGTTTCCTTATTTAGGGATGAATGGAAATGTATTGGAGGTTTCTCACAGGCAGGTTAATAAATTTATATATGGATTAAGCAGGCCCTCTCATGAGGAAACATTGGACAGACTGGATTGTTTCCGCAGTGGTTTAGAAGAATGGAGAGTAACGTGATTGACATACATATAACGTCCTGAAAGGTGTTAACAAGGCGGTTGTGGAAAGGACATCCCAAATTTTCCACCCTTTTTTTTTTTTTTACCCTCTGGAGGACAGAGATGTCTTGGAATACAGAGAGGTGTTTTTTTTTTTTTTTTTTTTTTTTAAGGTCCAGGTAGACAGCTGTAATTTTGTCTCCAACAGGGTGTTGTACCTGACGTGACAGTGTTAATGATATCTCTTGTAACGTGAACACTACCATATCTATGCCCATTTTCTTAAAGATCCAAGTGGATGTATTACAAGTAACTTGTGTAGAAAGGTCATATTCCTCGAGTACCCAATTCACAGGACTGACATAAGCTGTTACTCTACCAGAAGCCCGCTGCTTTCTTGTAGGGTCATGCTTGACAAGTGATTTGAGGTAAAATAAAATATGAGATCTTAATATCCTCAAGTCACATTCTATGATGTAGTTAGGGGACGTGGTAACATAATGGTAATGTTACTGAACTAATAAACCAGAGCCCCAGGCTAATGCTGAGGGATCTTGGATCAGATACACCATGGCAGATAGTGAAATTTGAATTCAGTAAAAATCTGGAACTAAAAACAAAAGTTAGTCTAATGGTGACCATGTACCAATTGTCAAAAAAACCCATATGGTTCACTTACGTCTTTTGGGAAGGAAATCTGCTGTCCTTGCCCAGTGTGGCCTACATGTGACCCAAGACCCACATCAATGTGGTTGACTGTTTACTGCCCTTCCCCAGTTGTCCAGAGGGCAGTTAATGTTGTTCTAGCTCGTGATATCCAGGTCTTATGAATTAATTAGGAACAAGTTATAAGAGCATGTTTCTTAAAGGTATACTGGGATGCTGACTGTGATATACAGCACAGCAGACTTCTGTTAGCAAGGGAATCAAAGGTTATTGAGTGCCAGTTCTGGTCGCCCTGTGATGGAAATGATATTAATAAGCTAAAGATGTACGTCAGATACATTTGGGACATTTAAGCGACTCTTGGATAGGCACATGGATGATAGTAAATGTAGGGTATGCAGGGTAGTTTGATCTTAGAGCAGGATAATAGATCGGCACGACATCTTGGGCCGAAGGGCCTGTACTGTGCTGTACTGTTCTATGTTCGATGTTAAATGGAGGTGTAGAATTCAAAACAGACTTATTGAATAGTGGAGCCAGTTAGACAGGCTTAATAGTTTACGTCTGCTCCCAATTCATAAATTCATAGGCGTTCCTCCTGCCCATTCTTCCTTTCCCTATAAAAGTTGAAATCTGGATTACTGTGCAAAAGAAATGCACCATCTAATTGAGGATGAATCTTTTCCAGTACTTCTGGCTGGGTGAGATTTAAGGAGCTGTAGCTGAACCATAGTTCAAATCATCTTTGTCATTTAATATTAAATGTGAGCTCTGGCTTAGAGGAGCTTGTCAGTCATCTTGGGCACAAAGGTCTAATGTGTTAATGTTTCTGGATTAAATAATAAATTTCCTTCATTAAATTTTATCTTAGGTGCCAATGGATGATTTTGGATTAAGGAATGAATTCCCTTATTACTTTTTGAGAGTATTCTTTTCAGATATGGTTCATGAAAAGAACACTTGAAAATAGAGCTGACTGCAGGAAGATTAGTTCAACAATGCTGTAGTGCAGAAACTGCCTCATCTGGAAGCTTGTTTAATCCCTTTGGACAGCTGTATGTTTGTCAGGAGAGTTCAGAGAGAACCAAACAACGTCTGACCTTTTTTCCCATTGGAAATATTTACTGTCAGCTGTTATAGCACAGGTTCTACCTGGATAGGATAGTAATAGACCAAAAAAGTAGATCCCAAAGATGTTAGAGGTTCAGAATTATAGATAAATGTAAATGACTATGCTGAACATTTCAAATTAAAGCTTTAAAAAAAACTGACCCTAACAACCCTGGCCTGGGTTGCTTTCTGCCTATGAAAATGTCAGTAATGCAAGTCATTACTTTTATACATATTACCTTGGCTAATTTTACTTTTTGAGAAATCTAATACCAAAAAGTGCATTTTAGGAAGAGGGGAGTCTTGTATTTCTGTCATCTCTACTTGTTATAAATTTTATAATTTGGCTTATTCAGTATCTATTTCAAACACTCTGCTGTCAAACATACTTGCATTTAAATGTTGGAAAGACCAAAGCCATTGTCTTTGATCTTTGCCAGAAACTCTGCTCCTTAGCTGCCAACATCCCCTTCCCTACCAGTTATGAAACTGAACCAGACTGTTGCCAACCTTGGTACCATACTTGATTCAGAAATTAGATTTCAACCACATTTTCACCATGACATCACCTATTTCTGTTTGCATAAAATTGCCTGACTCCACTCCTCTACATCATTTAGTGCTGAACACCTCATCCCTACTTTTTGTTAGCTCTATCCTTGACTATTCCAATCTTCTCCTAAATTGGAATTTTATTCTACTGCTTGTAAACCCGAGATCATCCAAAATTTTGCCCATATTCAGTTGTGCTTCTAATCTGTGCTTCACCCTGCACCTGCTGTTCTAAACAGGTTTTCAGTTGAATAGCCACTTGCTTGATGCTACTTCTGGGAGATCTGTCTTGGTATGCCATGCTTATCTGTCTTGCACCATCTTCTCACATCCATTGTAGTTTTTCTGCAACTGCTCTTTGACACCTGTCATTCAACTGCTGCCAGCTGAATCCTTTTTCCTGCCTTCCACCTTCTCCTCTAGGAGAGATCTCTGTGGCTTTTCAGCTCTGGTCAAGTGGCTGAAATATGTTTTCTTTTCTAGATGTAGTTTTAAAACATCTAAAAACATTTTTTTATTTTCTCTTGCAATTTTGAGTGTGTCTTCATTTGCTTTGTGGTCCATATGTACAATTATTGGTATACATCTTGAAGTCCACATTTCAAAGGCTCGTAGTTCTTTTACACATTTTTATTGCTCAGGTTTCTGAGGCATGCAAGAAAGTGGATAGAATGTAGCATTTTAAGTGTTCTGTACAACCTTGAATAACACCTGTTTCACCACAATTATTTCTGGCTGTCTTTTTAACTCTGACAACACATTTACAATCTTTAGAATTAGGTTTATTGTCACATGTACTCACTTGATTACAGTGGAAACTTTACGTAGTGGCCACTTACGACGCCATCATAAGTACAAAGATTCTTAGGTACAGATTCTTAAGAATAAATCAGAAAAATAAGAGTCCAGCATTACAGACCTTTGCGCCATCTTAGGTACAACAGATATCCAAGTACAAAATCTTGGAAATAAGTTAGAAGAATAAAGAAATGAAAAGTTC